ATTGAAATGATATTCTTAACGTTAATGGATGTAGTTATGTACCTCACCAGTACCAGCGCTGTGCTACATCACTTTCTTTTTTATCTATCTCTTTGTGTAAATGAGCCACTACATTAAAAAAAAAAAATAATAATAACAATGGATAAAAATAATAATGGCAGCATGAACTTTCAGGTCGGCGCAACTGTTTTTCAGTCGCATGCCACGCTTTTTGCACGCCACAAGTTAAGCGCCTCAACTCCTGCATGTGATATTCACAAATGTTAGAATTTTTCCACTGTGTCTGTCCGTGTTTTAAAAAGGATGCCTTCTGGCTCAGACAGGCTGGCTCTTAACGCCATGCTAGGCTATCCCACCATCACCATGCTGAAGAACAAAGAGCAGCCAGAGAGCGACTCTCCAGGAACATCCAACAACTTTGTTGGTCCGAGACAGCCCAGCAGGCAGCAACTTAGCTGCCGCCGCTAACCGTTTTTATCCACGGCGGCTGTGCGTAGGGTTAACACCGCTTGCCCCCCCACCTCCTCCCTCCCGTCCCTCTGCTGTGTCTCGCCTAATAACGCGCGGAGTTAAACACGGATTTATTCGCTTGGCTCCAAGCAGCTAACAATTCGCGTTATCTGCTCGCCACAGTTGCTAACGTTAGCTAAGCTGCTAACCTGTTTGTTGAGGACAATCGAAGTTAACCTAACGGCTGCCGTCGGTCGCTAACGTTAAGGCTAGCAAACTGCGCCGTTAACCGTTAAAAAAAACTACCCGGTGACATTCACCGCAGGAAGCCGGCTGCTGAAACGCGGCTCTCGGCCCTATCGGTGCCCCTCACTATATTTGCAACACCTGATAATGGTAAAGCTGGGTAACGTTACCATCGCCAGCATCCATCCATCCGGTGTACACTCAGAGAGCTGCTTGTTGTCCTCCTCACAGATTGAACAACCCAACTCTCGATCCGAGCACAGACCCCGCCGCTCTCATTGGACCGGGGCTGAGCGGGAGCCGGGCTCTCATTGGCGGAAGGGTTGAACAACAGGCAGCAGGATGGACCGTCCGTCCGTCCACCCACAGCGGCCACATGGAACAATAACCGAGGCCAGAGTGGAAGCCGGGTTTAAGAGGACAGCCGCTACCCCTGATCCCCGGTGTCCCCGTTAAACCCCGTGCGCGCCATGTGTCAAGCTCAGTAGTGTTAATCTGGTAAAATACACCTGAGGCGCGTGCATGTACTGTGCGTGTGTTTAGCTTTAAGCGCCCTATTAGGCGCATCTCCTTTGGATGCTGTCGTGGGGAGGGACTACTTTCAAAATGCGTCAGCGCAAATCAGTGTAATTCAAGTTTAAACATAAAAACAAAGCCGCTGTCTAGAAGAAATGCGCAGCATTCCGGGAGAGTTTGAAAGCTGAATAACATATCACAAGTTCTAAAAGAGAAGTCATGTCAGTTTTATCAGCTTTAATTATAATACAGTTGTGGTTGCGCTGCATATCCAGGATTTTTTTCACATGAGATTAGGAGACGCATGGATAAAAATAACCAAATTAACAATAGCAATTATCGTAATTTAGTAGGACACTTGAATTATATATATATATATATAAATAAAATCAAATTACTGGTAATTTAATAGGACATTGTTCTGCATTTTTACTTTTTTCCCCCTGCTCTAACATAAGAGTTCACTCAATGCCAAGCATAAGTGAGATCTTCAGATTATTGTAGATTAAAGTGTCTATTCTCAGATTTTAGAAGCTAGATCCAGTCTTTTGGACATTTTAACAATCCAATATAAACAATCGAACTTACTGTCACCTTGAGATATCTGCACAGATACTTCTTTGTGATTTAATAAAGCATTTCCACTGTAAACTCATTGCATGTGTAAACACAAGCCTCCACCTAATACCGGAACACTAATCCAACTGCATAAACCTAGGGATTGGACTATGAAATTCCTCGACCTGTAGTCAACATTTAGTTCATTCATTCCTGTCTTTCTGACAGAGAAAAACAAAGAAATCTGATTGTTTAAAAAGGAAAATCTCTCACTTGCTTGTGACATCATCTTTAAACATTCAGCCAGCGCAAAACTTGGATGATGCAACAGATAAAAATCGACCTCTCTCACTGATAAACATCATCAGATCAGTTGACAGTCAAAAGGGCCAGTGTTCAGCTGATAAATTGGTTCATCCCTGTGTAAACTAGCAAGAAATCAATGAATACTTTGTGCCTCTACTCTCAGATAAAAGAGCACCATCAAAAGGGCATCGCAGTATGAACGCTCAGAGACTTTGACTACTTGTTTTCACTGTGTCTCTTTATTGCAAATGCTTTCATCCAACACTAATGTGAAGTTCTGCAGTGATAATAAAACCCCAGACGTTCAAAAAGAAAATGCCTGGGTATCAACGCTAATCCATAGGACCAGAAATATACCAACATCTGTACAAACATGGAGAGGAAAAAAAAACAGATATCTTTGTTGCAGACTCAGCGCACATTGGTTCCAGGGATTTGCAGCTTGCGCAGTTTGTTGAATAACTCCAGGTACTGAGTCATGGTGTCAACACAGTCTGTTGGTGCAAAGAGTCCCTCGGGCTTGGCAGCAAACACAGATGGCAGTTCAGGGACGCTGGGGCCGAGAAAGGACTGCATAAACTCCTTCATGAGGTTCCAGCAGTCCCCAGGAACGACACAAGGGCAGTACTCCACCTGAGGAAGCAAGCCAGGAGTTAACGCCTCAAGGAGAGAAAGCAGAAGGATGTGACTCGTCTTTATCACAGCATATATATATATATATATATATATATATATACACATATATACATATATATATACATATATATACATACACACGCACCTCTACTGATATCCCTCTGGCACTGGAGCTCATCGTCACGGTACCAACTTTTATCAAGAAGTCGCAGTAGCGATATCTCGAACCACGAGACTCCACCTTGTGTCCCTTGGCATTCTGAAAGTGACTTTTCAGCTTCACCATGAGGACATCAAAATTTGCATCCGCTATTAGGCAGGGTCCACCTTCAAACAGAGCCAAGCAGCTCAGGGGGGTTTCGGAGTTGTGCATCACATACAGGAGCTTGGAGGGCTGACCTACAATGGACAGACAACACTTAAAACTGTCAGGTGAGATGGGGAAGGAAATGAAAGTTCCACAAAGTTACAGCGGCAAGACTGAGATTTGCAGCTGAAGTTTGGACGTGTACAGTGAGGGATAGTAGATATATTGGGAAAAGGATGTTAAAGATGGAGGAGCTGCCAGGCAGGAGGAAAAGAGGAAGACATCAGAGGAGATTTATGCATGTAGTGATGGAGGACTTGTAGATGGTCGGTGTGACAGAAGAAGCTGCAAGGGTGAGATGGAGGCAGATGATCTGTGGTGACATCTAAAGGAAACAGACTTCTGGCCATATAGATATACAGCTATTACTTATACTGATGATGATTGTTATTCTCCCACAGATACATTCAAAAACTGTGGCGATACAGTAGCCAAAGATGCACAGGAGGAATCAGCAGTACTGAAGGGGACAGTAACAGTATGTCGATGGAACTTGTTGTAACATTTCTAAGGAGGTGCACACCAGGCTGCTGAAGCATAAATTCCCAATAAAAGTGACTACCTTACTGTGTTGACCTAACTACAGCCAATCAAACTGGTAAATAAACCAGTACACCAGTACTTATGTAGCTCGTTTTAATGTAGCTGAGTACTCAAAAGCACTTCCTACTACAAGTCTCACACTCACATTCATACAGTGCTTTTGTCTATGCCTAACTGTTTTCTAACACACACACACAGATGGATGCATCAGGGGCAACTTAGGGTTCGGTATCTTGTCCATGGATACTTCAGGATGCAGACTGGAGGAGATGGGGATCTATGACGCTCTACCAGCTGAGCCACAGCTCGTGTGACAAAAAAGTGAATTTTGACGTTTCCATATATATATATATATATATATATCACAATTTCTCTTGCCCTCTTTGCCAGATCTCTCTAGAATTTTTTTTTTATGTCAGTGACACTTAGCTGCATAAATAAGGGAGATACGAAAATCACTTTGCCAAAAAACAAGTTCTGCTTTGTGATAGAAATGTTCTTTCTTACTCAAAATGACTCAGAATCGTTCATGAGAGATCTGTTTGACAGATTGTAGGCCAATAAGTCATTTACAACAGTTCAAATACCGGCAATCTTTTTTTCTTTGCAAACAATCACACGAAAAGGGGATAAAATACTCTGTAGCCCCACCTAGACAGGGACATCAGGTCAACCTCATGGGTGAGTGCAATACGTCTGCATTAATGTGATCTATAAATCTGAATTCTAAAGCTCAGAAACAAACAGATAAAAAAATATTACTGCTGGAATTTCCCGTGGCATGGTAAGTTTCGCAGTCCACGCAGAAGCTGCCTTGCTTCACGGCGCCCAGCTGCTCCAGCTTTTTGTGCAGCATGTCCACAGTCTGCTGCACGCTCTTCCCCTCCGCCACGGGCACCTGGCACACACTGCGGGGCACAGCAAGCAGAGCACTTGAGGAACCAGCATACACTTTGTTCTGTGTCACGTTACCAGCATTGTTGAATGAGACACAGCCACGCTCCGCGGATCCATGGGAAAAAAAACCACGCAGGATGGTTGAGGCTGGGCTAAAACTGTCTGAATATTTAGGGGTTAAAAAACGTTTAAAATCAAACGTAGGTTTAAAAAACCACCTTACCAAGTAACACCCATTGATGTTTTGCCTCTCTTCACTTGTAGTACGGAGTTTGAGCACTTCCGGGTTAAACAAAACGCCTTCCGGTAAAGTGAAAGGAAACAACAGAAAAAAACGAATAAAAAATAAAATATTATCGATAATACAGAATGGTGAATATTAACACCGTTTCACAATGAAACAGTCAACTGACGTTGTTGTACTTTTTTTCTGAAGTGGTCGCCGAAAGCCGGATTTTACGTGAGTGCGTTGCGTCACTTCCTTCTCACCGGACCTACGCACACGTGTTGAAGCAGTGACTGTTTACAGTGTTTGGTGAGGTCTGTCCCGTAGCTCGCGCATGTCCACGGAAACATCCACACTGTGGTCATAGCTGAAGTAAAACCCAGCGATGCCGAAAGTCAAACGGTCCAAAGGTGGAGGAGAGAAGAGCGGAGCCGCGCCAGTGGCGCTGGCCGACCAGATCCTGCAGGCGGACATTGTCCGAGCCAAAGGCCGGGTCAAAATCAGAGACACCCGGGAAGAAAGCGACGACAAGTACGTGGACGAGCGGTTGTCACGGAAAATCTTACAACAAGCCCGCATTCAGCAAGAGGAACTTCAGACCGAATATGGGCTGGCACCAGAAAAGAAGAAAGCACCAGTCACTGTTCTCGGTAATGTTGGATTGGTGTCGTAGTTATCCTTAAATTGGCAGATATTTGAATAGAGTTTGGTGAGCCAGGTGCTAGCACCATGGGCACATCAAGTCAGTCGTCTTTGACACACATCGCATTTGTTCAATGTCTTCTGACTAGATTAGGTAGCTTTTGTTTATATACCTACATTTGTCCTTTAACGTTCATAATCCACAACACTCAACAGCGCACATCTTTTCATGGGAAAAAACTTATACTAGCTTTGGTTTGCAGTCTTGTTACTATACATATAAAATACACTCTCACAAGCACATTTTAAAACATAAAATATAATTAAAAAGCATTTCTCTGGTCCTGGATATTTATTTGTAGCAGGTATGTCATAATCTATAAATACAAGTGATATATCCATTAAACCTTTATATCATGTGCAACCCTGTTACACTACTATTTTTTTTTTTTACCCCCAATCATATCATTTTTAATAAAATTGTCATAAATGTTTATATTAGCTCAAGGGATTGATCTGTTAATCTGCTGCCTTTGTAACTGCTTTTACAAAAAACAAGTAAATATTGAAAATTTGGTAGGTTTTGAAAGTTGCTTAAATGAATAAGAATCGAGTGTTGTCTGTTATCAAGTGTGAAAGATGCTCAAGAATTTATTAAACAATATTTTTTAATCTACTTTTTCGGGTTCTGAAGTATTGGCTGCAGAGATGCGCATAGAAACAAAAATATCATAAAAAGTTTATATTTAATGCCTGATCTGGACATATTTAATATTTAGTTTTTTCTTAAATAGATACCAGAAAATTATAAAATGATAAGAAATATTTAATGCCTGAATTATCCTCCTATTGCTAAATGACGTAGGAGTTTCCCACACAAATACATAGAAGTGCAGCACATGTTGAATCCATGTTAAAGTGTAAAATCTTTCCTTGTGATTGTCTTTATCAAGAGACATTACTTAATTAAAATATTTACACCCAAAACAGTTCAGTGTGATCTTCTAATGAGTCTTGTAATCTTATTTTAGGGCCTGACTCTCAGGATGCAGACTCGGATGAAGAATGGCCGGCGCTGGGAGCAGCAGGTCCTGCAGATGTTGAGTACGACGAAGAAATCGTTGTTGACGCTGAAGATGAGAAGGCCATCGAGATGTTCATGAACAAAAACCCTCCAGTGAGGTGAGCTACACCGTCGCTTTAACTTGAGGCGCTGCGAGCTCAGCAAATCCCTAACTTTGTGTTTGTATTAATGCTGTGCAATAGTGGAAAGTCTGGTATGGACTAGGGGTGGTGGTATAAATGGTATACGGTAGAAATGATATGAATTTAGCCAACAGTAGAGATTTTGACTATACCGCTCTGCCGCGATAGCGCATGTTGATGGTGTCATCAAGCTGCGCCTGTTTTGGTCAAAAGCATTGCAGCGGCTGCAAGCAATGTCATCTGCAAATTGGGCGACAGTAATAGTGAAGAGACAAAGCACGTTTTAGAATATGAGGAAAGCCAAAAACTGCGCTTCCTCCACTTCCGTACATTCTGCACATTGATTCATTAATGTTTAATTCTCTCGCAGCTGCTCTGTTCCAATGTTGTTCCAGTATACTAATGACTAACCTTGTATTGTGGATTATCTCAGTTGTTCTCCTGACTGAAGTTTGGTCCGTTTACAGCATCCTGCCATGCAATTGCATTTGTCGCTAGCCATCAGACCCTCACGTTAACTTTTATCGAGTGATAAAAGTGTGTTTGTTATGCTAACATAGCTGTGTTGCTAGTGATCATGAAAGCACATCATTATATACCAGCTAATCCATCTTCAGTAACCCTACAAATGTCACTGCTGTTTAGTTTTCTGTCTTTGTTTATGTTGGAAGTGATAGTAGAGCTGTATGTTTCATTTTTTTCCCCCAGAAACCTCTCTGTCAGAACATGCTATATCATGTTTAGGTGGAAACTAGCGAGCTAACTTCCTGCTAGCTCTGCTTGGTTTTCATGGATGTTAAACTTAATTGTTACACCTGGTAAAGCAGCGACGCTGACCATTTTATTAAAGATGAAAGAATTGAGACAGTGTTTAACGCTCAGTGATGCAGCAGTGTTTGTTTGACTTTCGGACCTGAAGCGGACAGATTACTCCACGAGGCTCCTGACTACGGTAGCTGTAGTGCATCCAATCCATGCAACAATCCATCAAGCGGTGCGGCTTCGTAGTTTACCAGAGTTGTACTAAAACTTTTTTTCACAGATTTGAGCGCTGTGTTTCACATGAAATCGGTTCTAGGTCAGTAAGCACAACCAGAATTCATACATAAGGCACACTGTCGATTTTTGAGAAAATTAAAGGATTTTAAGTGCATCTTTATAGTGTGAAAATACAGAAGAAAAGAGTATATCGCGATATAAATCGTTACCGCAAATGCTTCAAAGTATACCGCAATATGGATTTTAGGCCATATCGCCCAGCCCTAGTATGAGCCAATACCAGCACTTCTAACCTATAAAGGAGTCGCCTTCAATTTGCAAATTCTAAATATATTTTAATGACAGCTAAATCTCTGGTTTTTGCTTTCCACAATAATTAGTTAAAACACCAAAGCACATCTTTTTAACTTTTCATTTAATTTGAAACTTGTTTATTATTTTTTTTGTTTTTTAGAGCTGTAATGTTATTGTGGGTTTTTGGATCCGGTTCTCTTGTTGCGATCAACACAACAAGGTTCATAGTGCATGTTTGAAGTGTAGTTTTTCATTTCCAAAACATAACTTATCCAACATAATTCAGTCGGCTACATAATGAACATGGAGGATAGAAACAAATTATCGATCAAATTGTGCTGGTATTGATCCGATACCAATACCAGCACTGGTATCAATATTTGGATTGGTCGGCAAACCACTAACTCCTTTCTTTGTGGCTCTTGCAGACGGACGTTAGCCGACATCATTATGGAGAAGATCACAGAGAAGCAGACAGAGGTGGGCACGGTGATGTCAGAGGTTTCTGGGTGTCCGATGCCACAGCTGGACCCAAGAGTAACAGAAGTGTACAGAGGTGTCGGTAAGGTAAGTTTACTTCAAGCCCACCACACGTCAACTAACTGTGAGACAAACTAAAGGAAAATAGACACAGTAAGTGGAGAAGCCCACTGGCCCGGTTAGTCATGCATATCATATCGAGCAGAGGGGGAGTTTGTAGACACCGCTTGTATAACAGGTGTGTTTTTGTTAATGGAGACATGTTTAAAGTTGTCATTTCTCTTCTTGTGCTTCAGGTTCTGTCGAAATACCGCAGCGGCAAACTGCCAAAGGCCTTTAAAATAATACCTGCGCTTTCAAACTGGGAGCAGGTTTTGTATTTGACTGACCCCGACTCTTGGTCCGCAGCTGCTATGTACCAGGCGACGAGGTAAACTTTGAGCTGATGCGCTTTGTGATGATCAGTTTTCCGCAAGTTCTCTTTAGTGATATAATGAAGTATTTTTCCTTGTTCCTTTTAAAGGATATTCTCGTCCAATCTGAAAGAGCGAATGGCCCAGAGGTTTTACAACTTAGTGCTGCTGCCTCGAGTACGGGATGATATCGCAGAATACAAGCGACTGAACTTTCACCTTTACAGCGCCCTGAAGAAGGCCCTGTTCAAACCGGGAGCATGGTTTAAAGGTGAGACTGAGGATTCGAATACATACTTAAGATTGAGAACAGACGGTGACAGAACTGAGTAGAAGTGTGTGTGGAAATGATTACAGAAATATAGTAATCATCGTAATATAGAGTCATGTGTTTTCAAACTAAAGGATTTAAATAAATGTTATGTTACTGTACATTCTAGGTGTTATATTTAAATGTAGCAAACAAGCAGAACTAATTGGACTATTTCTGAAAAACCACTGGTGAGCCACTTGTGTCTCAGCTGAAACACTGAAATGCATATTTTCAAAATGCTGTGTGTTCATATGACACACATATGTTCATAAAGAGTATTCATATGAAAAGAGAAGGAGAGACCATAAAAGTACATCTTTCTTTGTGTTACAGTGCTGTGATTGCAGCCATTCCTCAATTCCCTGTGAATAGGACCCATGGCCTTTAATTAATGGTGATGACAATCTGCACATCAGTTATAATGAAACTGATATTGTGGCTCATTGTTATGCAGTGGTGCTGGAGATGCCTACAGTCGGCTGAGACTGACTAAGTCACTTGGATGAGTCATGAAATGTTTTTCCCTCTGAAAACACAACATGTAGATGAACTCTGTCAGCTTTCTAGGATTTCCTTACTCAGGTCGCTGAGCATTTTAACACAAGTGTTGCATTAACTGTGTAGGAATGACAACTGTTGTGCACATTGAAGAATATGTAAAATGTCAAAGAACAGTTTCCACTTTCTGAAATATCTTTACGAATTCAAAGTAAAGGGTATCTGTGAAGTCAGGACAAATTCTGGAAGAGAACATCTCCATAAATTTGCACATATGTTGAGCAGAAAGCAAAATACCCACATGACTGCAGAGCAGCTGCTTGAAGCTTTAACTGATTGGTGTGGTTGTACTGTTTCACTGTGTTGATGCACAGAAGAGATCTTGTCATTGGCAGCATCTTTGTAAGCTGAGAGGAATAGATTTCACTAACTTTTGGCAAATTTTGCATGCAAAAATGATGCATTCAATCATGACAGGGAAACTGAAATAAGATTGTGGTATACAACTGGACAGTGATCCAACATAGACTTTGAAATCCACCATGAACTACTCCAAGAACCCCTACAGGCTACAGCTGTGTGTCTCTCGGGCCTGTAAACAGTAACCTTTGTTATTGTTTGATTAAATCTTCATCGAACGGTGGGCTTAGATCCAGTTGCATGTAACCCTTGGAAAAGAAGTGGGTACATTAAATGACTGAGAGGATTTGGCAGCTTGTTGCATTGCAGAAAACAAGCTTTCTGGGACATCTCAGATTTCCAATTTCAGCGCTAAATTTAGAAATATTATTCTGAAGACCCTGACGGAGGATTAGACAGTGTCCACAGGGTAAATAGCACCATTGGTTCTGGTAGGAAAGTAATTAACACACTCAAATCTAATTGGGTCAAAGTGTCTTTCATACATCCACAACTGATTGTTGAGGATGATTTTTCTTTAATCTTGTCAGTCTTGTGTTCACAAATTGTCCCAGTTCGGTGGGACTATTTTCTCTAAACATCCTGTGACCTATATTCTGGCAAAAAGGTAATGCGAGATGTCACCACTGTGTGGCAGTGTTGCTTACAAAGATGTATTTTATAACCCAGGGAGCATGAGAGAGTGGGAGAGTGAGAAGTGATCAGAAGCATGCTAAATATTGAATTTAGTGGAGAATTTGAAGACGCTAGAATAATGTGTTAAAAAGCTTCAAATATTATTTTTAACATAATTAAGCAGCGGGCAAAATTGTGCAGAATCACCTTAATTTGGATTTCATGAGCACATGCAGCCCAAAGAAAAAATAACAGTAATAATAATCATAATCATAACCATGTTAAAATGATTCTAGCATATGTATGTATGTTTGTAGGATCCTGTCTACTCCTAGACGAGTGGAGCAATTTTAATGAAACTTTGCATAGACATTGACACTGACCGTCAGCATCTGTATGGCATATTGAACATCATAGAATGAATGATATAGTATATGATGGGGTGATATAGAGTGGAATGCTTTGGTATAGAATGGAATGTCATAGAATGGACCGAT